AGGATAGAATCCCCTTAAGGGACCCCCCCCAAAAAGGGTACCCCAATTTGGGGAACCCCCCCCCCCATATGGGTAAAGGACTATATTAAGGGCCCACCCTAAACCTTAATGCAACCCTAAACCCTAAACCCTAAACATTAAACCCTGAACCCTAAACCCTAAACCCTAAACCCTAAACATCCCCCCAAGCCGATCAGCAGATGCCTTGTCGTGGCCAGAACAAGACCTCGGCTTCCGTGCCATTCGCAAAGATCAGGTCATCCTCGACGGAGGTTTGGGGGCCTGTAGGGTTTAGGGTTTAGGGTTTAGGGTTTAGGGTTTGGGGTTTAGGGTTTGGGGTTTGGGGTTTGGGGTTTAGGGTACAAGTTGGGGGGGCTCAAGGGTTTAAGGGTTCGGGGTTATATACGGGTTTAGGGTACGGAACACCCTCAACCATCAACCCTAAACGGAACCCTGCACGCCCAATCTTTGCGAATGCCCTGGCGCAGTTCTGAACCCAGCAACCACCGATAGGTTACCCAGCAAACCTGGGCAAGAATTATCAAGTGTAATGTTGCACCCTGATTAGTACAAGGAGGGGCCCCTTTACTATGCTAACTATAGTTAAGGGACTTATAACCTAGGTTAGGCTCCTTATAGCCCAATTTAGGGCCCCTATAACCCTACTTATAACTAGGGGGCCCCTCCTGTAGGGCCTCTTGAATTCAAGTCAAGTTTTGCCGGGATATTGAGGACGGGTGTTGCAAGAAAAAATCGTGCAATTGCCGGGCATCGCTGTCCCTTTGAAATTTATACAAACTCCTCACTACGACAATCATAGTATAAGAAGGCGAAAACCAGCTTCGACTGTCCTGGGGGGAGGGGGCATACACTTAAGAGGGTGCAACATTACCCTTTCCGACTGCTTCTGGTTTCTAAGCACAACTACCAAGCAGGTTCCTATGCTATGAAGGGAACGTCCTCGGCCGCGTCCATCAGCGAAATGGCATTTGTCGCGATCGTGTGAACCACCTTCAGTTCAAGCCGGCCTTTATACACCCATTATGTATACATATATATATATATGTATGTATAATATATGTGTGCCTATGGAACTATATATATATATATACATATACATAAATACAATCTTCTCCCGCAGACTTTGGGCGGCCTAGTCTCGCCGAAACTTCTTCACCCCCCCCTCCCCCCACCCCTTCCCAATGTAACCCTTATAAGCACCAAAAAACTCGTCAGTCTCAGGGACGCCAGACCGGGGACCCCAATCCCACTGCCCTGTATAATCCTACCTATGCAATAAACAAAAACATAAAGATATGTATATATATATATATATAGATATACACGCATGTACACACACCTGATAATGGTCCCTCCTAGAGCCCCGTCACCCCTCGAACCCTTAAGGCTCTCAGGTGACCAGCGTCTCCTGAGCCCCTGGGCCGAAAAATCCAACCCCGAAGATCCCAAAGGTTGTCGCCTGCCCCTGCTGCGCGCTGACGCTGTTGCTCATGATCTCCTTGAGGGTTTAGGGTTTAGGGTTTAGGGCTTAGGGTGAAGGGTGTAGGGTTTAGTGGGGCTTGCGGGTGTAGGGTGCAGGGACCTGGTCTCCACCCACGAGCTTCACTAGAACCAGGGTCTGTAGTGGTTCTTCCAGCCTAAACCCTAAACCCTGAACCCTGAACCCTGAACCCTAAACCCCAAACCCTGAACCCTATACCCCAAACCCCAAACCCTAAATTCCAAGAAAGGCAACCCCGTGGAGTCCGGGGCACCGGCCTTACCCCAAATCTGAGAAAGGAATAGGGCACCCCTCGAGGGCCTCGGCTACTCCCCCTGCCCGGGGCAGAACCCTAAACCCTACACCCTAAACCCTAAACCCTGAAACCTGAAACCCTAAACCCTAAACCCCGAACCCCGAAACCCTAAACCCTAACGCACCCCAAGTTCACAGGTTCCCCTTTTTAGAGGGTACCTCTCATCAGCCCGACCCAAACCAAACCAGAGGCAAAACCCAACCCGAAACGCCGAACCCTGCACCCTAAACCCTAAACCCCGAACTCTAAACCCTAAACCCTGAACCCTGAATCCTAACCCCCAAGCCCGGAGTGGGCTTATACTGGGAAGCCAAGCCCTTTCGTGAAGGAATAACCCTAAACCCTAAACCCTAAACCCTAAACCCTCAAAGGGGTCCTGGGCTCCCTATAAACTCCTAAATACCCGGCGAGCGTCCTTGAGGAAGGAGATCTTCCCCATGCATCTCCTTTTGGCTCGGCTTAGGGTTTAGGGGTCTAGCGGTTTAGGTCTAGGGGTTAGGGGGTAGTGTTCCGGGTCTAGGGCTTAGGTGTGAGGGCTTAGGGTTTGGGGTTAAAGTCTGTAGGGCTTGGGGTTCATTGTTTACGGCTAAGGGTTGGGACATCCTTCGGTCGAACTGCCACCCCTACGGGCATACGTTTGGGGTTCTTGTTGTTGTAAACCTCAATACAAGGAGGGAGCCCCCTAGTTATAAGTAGAGTTATAAGGGTCCTAAATTGGGGTATAAGGATCCTAACTTAGGTTATAAGTCCCTTAACGATAGTTAGTATAGCAAGGGTGCCCCTCCTTGTAGAGGAACTACAGTCAACCCAAAGAGGAACTGCGGCAAAGCCGTCAAGGCTTGGGCATGCTGAAAGCATGAAAAAGGCCTGAGCTATCTTCGAGGCAAACATCAAGCCTCTAAGCCCTGAAAACCATACCGTTTCACAAGCCCCTGAAAACCCTAAACCCTAAACCCCAAAACCCTAAACCCTAAACCCTAAAACCCTAAAACCCTAAAACCCTAAAACCCTAAACCCTAAACCCTAAACCCTAAACCCTAAACTTACAGGGACCCCTCCTTCGACTCAAGAGTAAGCTAGGAATAAAACGGGTGCCCTTCTTGGCTGAAAGGGGCTTGTAAGGGAACCCAAACCCTAACAAAGGGAATAAACGCCTACCCTGGGTCCTAGCTACAGCCCCACACACCCAACCTCCAAAGCCCTAAAGACCTTGGCATTTCACAAGCGCCTTCAAGTCCCATTAACCCTGATCCCACAGAGAACCCTAATCTAGGGTTCGGAATATTTACTAATGGTATTCCCTTCTCGTCCCTTTATCATGATACTGCAATAACGCCCCAGACCCTATTCTAATTATCCAGGCCCTATAGCCCTAGCCCTAAACCCTAAACCCTAAACCCTAAACCCTAAACCCTAAACCCCTACTCGAATTTTCAAGGCCCCTACATTGCCGCACCCAACCTCTGAACCGAGGGGCTCGTAGCAAGCGAACTGAAGTTCCGCATGAAGCGACTTCCTTACTGTTGCTTGGCAGGGAATGAGGGAATTCGGCCCTACATAAAAGAAATATATATATATATGTGTGTATATATATACACACCCTTTAAGGGAATGTACAGGATACCTTATATATATATATACATATATATATATATACTGGCCGGTGCTTCCGGCCGCGGCCAAAAATATTTTCTCTACTCTCTGGTTTGGGGTATGCCGGGAAGATTATTAGTGGAAGTTGTTGCACGAATGAATGCTGGCGGTCATGGCTTCTTTTCTGCACGCACGCACAAGTCCAGAGGTCGGCCCTTCTTCATCTTCTGTCCGGCCCCACCAATCCGCCACGAAGAAACCTGGCCAGGACAGGAAAGAAAAGAGACATGAAAGGGATGTCACAACAAACAAGTAACAGTGGCGGCATGCACTTCTATTCTTTCTCACACACGGACGCCGCTGCTGTGAGTCCGACCAGACGTCAGGATCATGTGACTAGCCCCCTTCGACCAAACAGGACATGTCCAGGCATTTCGACCAGACATTGCCCTGCCTGGCGAGATTGCATGACCTTCTGATGAAACCCAAGAAACCCACCCGGCCGGGGAGGTTCAGCTCATTAGTCGCGGCAGCCCACTGCGAGGCTCCAGCAGACCTTGAAGCCGGGCCACCTCGTCCTCCAAGGCTTTCTTCTCAGACGTCCTTAGATCAGTGAAGAAAGAAGCAAGGAACCCAATGGTTGTGTTATTTGAAGCCGCTGGTGTTCAGAATGAAAACAACGGCACGGCTCAAAGTGTCCACCTCGGCAACCTTCGCATGATAGGTGTTCAGCAGGTTCTTGTTGGCGGACCTGAGCAAAGCAAAACGACTGTTGTTGCTCACCAGGGTTAAGGGTTTAGGTTCAGGGAGACAAGCCAGGCCACCCCAGCTTGTACAAACACTCGTTGAGGTACTTGACCTTTCCGGCCAGGTTTTGCCTGGGCCCACGCCACACAATGGAAAACGTAGTCCAAGGACCCAAGGCCAAAATCAGAAGACCGCTCGTTGCTGACCGGTTGCAACTTGAGACCCTCCAAGTGCTCCACGGCTTCACGAAGCTCTGCGTTTTGCTCCTGAAGTTCCTGGATCTGAGCACCTGCGCGACGGGACCTGACCTTGTTTTTGCGGTTCGCCTCTGCTTCTCGAAGCTGGCCACGTCTTTTGTCCGAGACCTTCTTCTTGATTTTGACATGGACAATTGAAAGGTCCGGCGAGTCCAGAGATTCCGGCTCTTGCTTGACGACCATTTGTCCGCTCAGCTCCCGCTTGACCATTTCGTTTTTGACCATTGCTGTTGAAATTTACAAACTGCAAACAAGCACAACGAACATCAAAGTCAGCCATGCTCACAAGTGGAAGCTGCACATGACGATATCGGAGACCTCTGCCTGGCCTGAGTTGAGCCGCAAAGCAAAGGCCTCCAGTCAGGACATGGGCAAGCGTCGATGTGAAATATGACAAGTAATTCGCAGAAGCCTAAAGAAAGTGAGCGCTTGCCACACTGTGGTCCTTTTTTTCTCCCCCGCACGCCCCCTTCGTGCTTGCTCGGACCCAACAGGCACACCATGACCGGCTAGACATGCGTGTCAGCTGCGTTGACCTGTAATGAGTACATGTCTGCATAGACCTGGAGAAGTTCATGTCAGCCAGTCACGTGGCCCTCCTTCGTTTGGATGTCTTCGACATCAAGCCCATGTTGCCTCGGCCAAACTTTTCCGGTGCCTTGAAAATGTCAGAGAGCTTTGCCCTCAAAGGCTTGCTGCTATCAGGCGCACTAGTTCGGGCTACGAATGGGTTCTGGATGAACCTTTCACGATCAAATCTGCGTATTGTTCGCAGAAACACAACTGCATCAGACCATGTGGCCAGGACTACTTGCTGCGGCGTCGTTTTTTGCGACCCAAGTGTGACGGACCATTTGCTTCTGTCCTCTTTGGCCAAGATCGACAAAGCCTTTGCAAACTCCTTGCAATCAGTCTTGAAGTCAGGGGTCATGAGGATGTCGGCCTTGGTTTGCCGGATGGCTGCCTTGTGCTGCAAGACTTCCCCACCTGGCCGAGACAGCTTCAAAGCCGCATATTGCTCTCGTGACAGGGCCGAAAGACCGTATGCGACCATTCCAAGTTGAAGGACAAGTTTGGCCGACTCGGGCCGTGCCAGGTGTGATCGTGCCATGTGTACGTCCTTGTCTAGCCCATCGACGACCACATAATGGGCAGTCCTCAGAATTTTGAAGTCTCTGGCCAAACCTTTCTTCCAAGGGCTGACCACGGCGTCCTTCTTTTTCGGGAGCTGGCCCGTCTCTGTCCCATCGACGACCCTGTATCCTCCAGGTCCTGACGGCATGACAAAGTTCTCGTCCTTGCCCGGACCCAAGACCTCGCCAGTTCGTGGCTCGGGCAAAGCCATTGGTCGCTGGAATCGCTGCGCCAACCGCTTCCGGGCAGTCTCTTTGGCGAACTTTTGAAGTTTGTCCTTGGCGTCCGAGTTCGGGGTCCCCAGGATCTTGGCCAACCTGGACCCGATCAACGATGTCTGCTTGCCTCTTTCACGCAAGCTAGCCGGCTGTGCTCCAAGCATGCGCTTGACCGACGCGTTGCGTTTGTCTATAACCGACCTGTCACTGCCTTCCTGTGGTCCTCTTTTGCGGCCCTTGTCGCATCGGACCCTGTAGACAGCGAACCTGCGACCCAATCGTGCCAGCCAAGTGGCTGCCCACTCTCGGGACCACTCCGTCAAACCAAGCTGGCCCTCAACCTTCGCACAGACCTCAGAGACGTTTTTTGGACCATCCAACACGATGTTCAGAAGCTGGTCGATTGTTGACCCATTGTCAAGCAGCGGTCCACAATGTTTCTCTAGCAGCGCTCGAGTTTTCCCAATGTCCTGTTCCACAGCTACACTTGTGTGCTCGACACTCAGGTACCACAGAAGCAATGGACCCACGAACTCCAGCTTGTCCACATCGACTTGACCCCACAGCAAGCGATTGTCCGGCGTCTCTCCACTGCTTTGCATGAATCGGCTCCTGCCCAAAGGCCAGCAACAATGCAAGCAAACTTACTGACGGCAGTTTACCTAGCACAATGATGCCAGCACAATGATACCAGGCTAGGCAGGCTTGGGTCTGCATGAACATGTCGCACCTGCGTGGCAAGATCTGCAGGGCAGCTGCCGCCAATTCTTCGCCAAGGCCGGCTTCTTCGGCTGGCCCGACCGCCAGTCTCCGAGGCAAGTACTGTTGCGATAGGCGAACAGCCCTTTGCATCAGCTTCTGTTTCAGGGACCGAGCATCATCGACCTTACCTTCGGAGTTGAGGTCCCTGACTCTCTGCCACTCTTTCAAATCAAACACACAGAAGTCCGCGGCCAGGCCGTTGTCCGGAAAGTCGACTTTCAGTCGGTCCTGGCTTCGAGTCGCAGCGCCCAGGCGCAAGCAGTTTGTCCCAGCAACTTTAAAGAAAGCCCAATTGCAATCAAGGAACCGATGCGGCTTGCACCACTCTAATCATGGAGCTGTGAACCTCTTTGATCTCGTCCATGGCAGCAGGATGCCAGAGCATGTGGGCCCTGTTCCCAAACATGAACGGCGGGCTCTCTTGACAAGTCCGGATGGCCTCGGCGAAGTAACTGTGGTTGTGACCGTCGGCCTCGACCATGATCTGGCCCTCTGTGTAGAGTTTGCGAACTCGAAGCAGAAAGTCGTTGATGTGCGACCTGGACAAGGCAATGTCATGGTCGGTCTTCTCAAAGAGTTTGACCAGGTGACCCACATCTTGACCCCAATCGGCACTCACTCCGGCCATAGCTGCATGCCTCGGACCCATTTCCCGGAGACGGTTGGCCGCAAGCAGCCGCTCCTTGGCTTCCAGCCTTTTGTCCGTGGCCCTGACCGACAAGAACAGTGCGATGGCACTCTGAAGCAAAACGTATCGCCGCTGCGGACAAACCGTGGACTCCCAGCGGTGAGCCGCAAAGCTCAAGTGCCTCAAGATTTTGGTCAAACCAGCCCCTTGCTTGCCGTCGGTGTCCAAGATCAACTTCCTCAAGTGACAACAAAGAACAAGCGGAAATACAAAAAAAACACACACACACACACACTAACACTACCAAGCGCCGGTGCTGCGAGTATGTCAACTTTGCAGGACAAACTGGATGCAGCTAAGAAGCTGGCACGCCATCAGTTCGAATCGCATTTTTTCCGAGTGCTGTAGCTGGGGCACCAGTGCTGTCTTTGGCCGCAAATAAATGTCGTACCACCATTTCTCAAATTCTTCCTCGAGCTTTGCCGGCTTGCCACAAGCAATTCTTATGGTGTGGCATGGGTCCCGGCATAACAAGCTTGCGTTCTTGAAGCCGACCTGCAAGTACTTCAGACCCTTCTGCATGCTTGACGCACCGTCTGCGGTGATGGCCATGACCTTGTCACAAACCTGCGCGTACCTCGGTCCATCATGCAAAACACTCACAGAATCTCTCTGCTGTGGGTTGGGTGGTAAAAACAAAACGCCCTAGCGACAAGGTGCCTACACGGGTTCGTGCCTACCACCCTGACATTCTCCTTCCACTTTTTCTGCCCTCCCATGCCCCGCAGAGCTCGACCTCCCACCCTCCCTTCTTGCTTCCCCTCCATCACCCGTGCCCTTCCTGAAGTACTGTATCTTTCATGTATATATATATATATATGCATACTTATTATATATATATATATGTATATGTGTCTGTGTGTATATACGTGTTTTTTTTGTGGGAAATACATATAGAAAGGTATCCATTCTAATCCCCTGCGACGGGCCCCGTCTGACGGGCCCCGTCTGGCGGGCCCCGTCTGGCGGGCCCCGTCTGACGGGCCCCGTCTGGCGGGACCCGTCTGGCGGGGCCCGTCTGACGGGACCCGTCCGGTCCGGTGGGCTGATTGTGAGGAAGTTGACATCGATGTGTAAGAATCTGTCAACAAAAACTTGCATTCATTCCTCTGTCCAGCGTGTACTTGCCGGGCCCCGTCGCCGGGACCCGTCCGACGGGTCCCGCGACGGGTCCCGTCAAGTGGAAGCATCGGGTTTACAGGAGCTTTCAGAAAGGCAATTAAGTTATAAGAAGGTGGACCTGACTGCACCCACAGTAGTGTAGCAGTGGCTCGTCCCAGCCAGACGGGGCCCGCCAGACGGGGCCCGTCAGACGGGGCCCGCCAGACGGGGCCCGCCAGACGGGCCCCGTCAAACGATGCAGGCAGTCTTTGTTTACAGGAATCATCAAAACAACCAATGAAATCACAAGAGCTTTTCGCCACACCTGACTTTTTACACGAACTTGACTTGAATTGACCTCTGTTGCGAGTGGGGGTTCATCACACGGGACCCGCCGGACGGGGCCCGCCAAGCGGGGCCCGCCAGACGGGGCCCGCCAGACGGGGCCCGCCTGACGGGGCCCGCCAAACGGGGCCCGCCAGAAGGGGACCGTCAAACCAGTATCTCAATCTTCTTCTCTCACGAACGAGGTAAGGGAGTGCCCGCCAACAGCCGGGGCCCGTCTGCTGGGAAACCAACGCGCTGAAGAGTTGTTATGCATGCAAATAATACGTGCCACCCAGGTGCGATTCGGAGCAAAAATCACCATCAGCATTTGTGCAGATGGTCGACAACAGTCCACAAATGCCTTGGCAAAGCTTCACACCGAAGTCTTCGTCGACGTCGCTCAGGCTGCCTCCTCGCATCGGAACCTCGGATGCTCGTGACCAGCATCACAAACGCCAACACTTTTTTTCTTGCCTCTTCAAGAAGTCAATTGCAACCAGAGCACGAGTCCTAACAGACCACGCTCTGTTTTGACGATGCTCGACCCTTGCCCGGACCTCTGGACCACGGAGCACTTGTATCGGACAACCCGCCACGGTTCCTTGTCGTCCACAAGCAAAGACACGCAGGCAGCGTTGAAGAGGTTGGCCTTGACCCGGGCCCGGATCGAGTCGGCCATGATCTCGATCATTTGCCGAATCTGCGCCCGTCCCCCACCTCTGACTCTTCCTTGCGCGTGTGAGAGGTCCGCCTCCATTTGCAGCAGGCCTTCCTGAGCCACGATTTTCGTTTTGTGTGTTGGGGTCAGCTGGGTCTCGGGACGAGGACCAAACAAATGCAGACAAAGCGTCTGAAGATCTGATTGAGGTCAAGCCGACATATTTCCAAACTCGCACCCAGTCGCATACCTGAGGGACGCCTCCGCGCAGCAAGTCCACGTCTGGCTGCGAGACCAAAACCTTGGAGACTGGAGCGTCTGGCATCAAGAAGCCTGCGACCGCGGTCTTGTGCAGGGTGCTCCGCGAGTGCAAAATGAAACACGAAGGCTGCATCGAAAGGCGGCCGCGCCTCGAATGACAAAGCCGTGTGATTAAAGCAAACCATGCATGAGTGACTGACTGTCGACTGCAGACAACAGAGGTGAAACCGCTGCCAAGTAGCACCTCGAACCTAGACCACTTCGTGCTGCAACGTCTGTGTCTGGACGTGTGTTCACGGGCACGCTTCTCGAACGCGTTGCACACAACACAGCCTAAGGCCCACTGACCGGGAAAATGCGCCGGACGCTCTGTCAGCCATGTTGTCACCATGGTCCTGTTGCCAAGGACATGGTTTGGCAGTGACTGCTGGAGAGGCGGCCCGTGACCTCTGGAAACGTGCCGACACCTGCTTCTTCTTCAGACCGGCTGCTGTCCCGGACGTCTGCAGACCGCGCGTTTGTCCAGGGGGGGGCCCAGCCATCACTGCGGACCACCTGCTCGGACCCATCCTTTCCCCAGGACCCGAAAAAAACAAAAGGCCAGCCAAATGGCTGAAGCAGAGCGAACATTGGGTGTCTCATGCTGCGACGAGCACAGCTGCCAATGAATTCAAGTAGCCTCAGGAGGCACAGCTTTCAGGAAAACTGCCGTCTTGCTTTTGCTCACCGTGCAAGCTTTGGTGCGTCTGGGGCCCGATCCGAGACGCCTGTGGATTTATTCGGCTGAGTCCATTCCATGTTGTGACGATGACACTACAAGGCTCTTTGGAGTTTAGGATGTGTGTGTTCACAACAACCGGAGAGGAACTTTCGGACCACGTGGCACCGCTTTGAAAGCGAGTCTCTCTAAAAGCCTCGGGACCACCACTATGAGCGCTAGAGGCAGCAGGCCACGACGTATGGCCATCTAAGAACAAAACACTTGTTGACTGTGCATGGCTCCTGACCAGGCCCTTGTGACCGGCCCTCACGACTTGCCGGCATCGGTTTCTTCTTCTTTTTGCTCTTCGTCCTTCTCTGCTTTTTCCGCCGTGTCTTCCTCGCCTTCGTCGTCTTCTTCCTCAGACTCCAGGCTGTCCCCGAAGAGCTCCGCGATGGTTTGCGCCAGGTCCGTCTCCTCGTTCGCGAGAACCTTCAAGAATTCTCTGTCCGCAAAATCCGTGAGCCACTTCGCATGTACCGACCCAGACGATGTCAAACCTGTGTAGGCCACGTCCGACTGGACCGATGCCTTGAGCAGTTGGGTCGACGCCGTCATGTCGAAGACATCGCTGATGCAGAGCGCCGCCAGGAGCTGGGTCCAAAAGTCCGCGGACTTGCTCTCCCGCCAGAAGAATGGGGCGCCTGGCTTGTCCCATCCTTCCGGGACCTGACATTGACCGCCGTTGGCACCCTTATCCTTGACACTCAGGAGGGGCAATTTGACCGGGATAGTCTGCTTCACGAACTGAGACCAGTCGAAGTCACAGGCCTTCAAACAGTTCAGCGTCCTCCCTGCAAAATACCCGTGTTCCACTCTCCCCAACGGGTGTTTTCCCGACTGCTCTTCTCCCGGCTTCTTCTTGCTGTCGTCGGTTTTGCCGACGAATTCTCCGAGCACGCCTTCACCACCTGGGCTGCTCATGCAAAGAAGAGTCCTGGGGGACCCAACTCTTCCACGTGCCAAAACACCCTTAAGGAGGCCGAGCGGCTCAGCAGCAGGATGCACTCCATAGCGTCGGCGCCCAGCGCATCCTGGATCTGCCGCTGTTGTGCTCGAGACTCCCCATCGAACGCGACCACGATGTCGGCCTTGCCCTTCATGCCAGCGAGACAGGCCAGAAGACGAGAGCTCTTCTCCAAGACGTCATTTGCCGGAGGAGCTCCTAGCCAAGGCTTCTCCGCAGGCTCTCCGATCAAGTCGCCGCTGAAAACGATCAAGTGCTGAGCCTCGCCGACCTTCTGCTTGGCCGCTCTTTTTTTGAAGGCTTCGTAGAGGCCCCGGACCTCCTGGGAAGTGTAGTCCGGCTTTAAAAGGTTGACCTGGGCCTTGGCCTTCCTCTTTTTCTGCACATCCTTCCAGACCTGCTCGGTGCTCTTCTTGGTTGCCTGGTCATCTGCGCTGGCCCTGTGAAGGAGGCTCACCGACGGTTTCATCACGGAGCTGGAAGACCTCGGTGCAAGCAAGAACGAAAATGTCACAACAATTGCGCAAGCATCGAGTGAGCGCAGCACATGTAAGCTTCACACGCTTGCAGCTAAGTTACACACAGGCATCGGGGCTGGGCTGCTGCATTGCTTTGTACCACAGTCGCCAAGGTGCAAAGTCGGCGTCCTTCGAGCCCTTGCCGTGTCCTCCCTCGAAAACATGGCCCGGAAAATCGGCCAGAGTCATGTCCTCGGAACACTTCTTCACCGCCGCGTCGTTGGAACCATCGAAGAGTGGGTAAACAGCCGCGATGAAGTCAAGCACGATTGAGTCACTGACCGAAGAGTCACTGACCGAAGACCCTGCGTCGCCCGGCTTGCCAAAGACACTCGTGTAGAACTCTCTGTGTGGGTCGAAGCTTGCTGCATCCATGTGGCTCTGGAACTCCAGAGGGGAGGCAAACAGGACCACCACATGCTGAAGCTTCTTCTTGATGTCGCCATCCACGTCCGACACCTCTATGAGGGTGCTGGCCAAAGCGACCAAGCTGAGCTTCATGTACATCAGCAACAAGAAGGTCTCTAGCCTGTTGCCCTCACGGAAGTCCTCGTCGAGGTTGGCGTACTCCGACCTGAAAGCCACCAGCAAGACCTGGAAGAAGTAAAGCAGGATCTGCTTCGGATCAACGTGGCTCAGCGCCTCACACTTCTCGCTGATGGGGTACTCCTTGTGGTGCTTGTTAGCGGCCCTCATGAGAATCAGCAACTTTGCCTGGTTGTCCGTCAGACCCCTGCCAAACTCCCGCTCCAGTGACCAGGCCGACGACCACGTGTCTGCATCACAAAGACCGAGGGTCCCGGCCAAGATGCCCAACTCCAGCTTCTCCTTGGAGATCGCACGGCCTTCGTACCGCACCTTCTTGGTCTCCAAGAGCTTGAGGGACTTGCTGTCCATGCCTAAACCCCAACCCTTAGTGCCCTCATGGAACCAGCGCAGCCAAAGCAACAAACTGGGTGCCAGCTGGCCCAATTTCCTGCTCAGGCCCAGCCAGTCCATCTTCACCCTGGCGATGTCCTCGGAGTCGGTCCTGCCCGTGTGGACCCTGATGGTGGTGCTCAGGGCTGCTGACAGCAGCTTGTCCACGACCTCCCAGTCCTGGCCGTCCACAGACCGGGCCAAGACCAAGTAGAACGCGAGCAGCAGGCCTGTCGGTTAACTTCATAAGGAGTGGTCATGCTCTCATGTTTCTTGCTACATCTTCCTTTCTCGCAGAGTACCAATGGAGGCTATTTCTCACTTGAAGCGCCTGACCCGCCAAGCAATTCCCAAGGCTTGTCCACACTCTTCTCGTCCGTGACCCTGGCAAAGAGGACCGCCGGACAGACCAAGCGACCTTTCGTTTCCGCCATCCAGAGGTCCGCATACCTCAGCAAAGCAGGACAATGTAAAAAGACGACGCGCGCCTTTGGGGCAATGAATGAAGGGGACACGGGATGTCTGCCAACGCATCCCGAGCGCTGGCAAATGTCACTGAACCCTGGCTGGCAATGCTTGTTGTTTTTCAGGTCCGCGAGGACGTCCAACCAGAATATGGAACAGCCAGCCTCGTACATGCCGCTGGTCCGAAGGGCCTCCACACAATGGCCTCGCTGGTACATCTCCTCAGCTGCTCGGCGCACTCACTTCTTGTTGTTCTCAAGAAGGGCAGGCTGTGAGAAGAACTGTTTACCTGCAGCAAAGATTCCTTGAAGGAGGTCGCTGTTCTCGCTTTTTTTTTCGGCTGCCCCGAGGCCTCGCCAGCAGTTCCGGGTGTTTCGATCTGTAAGGGCGGCAAGGTGTCCAAGCGACCACCAGGACCAAGCATCGCATGCGCAAACTGCGTTTTCTGGATCCAGGCCGCGACGTTTGTTTGGACCCAGACCACCTGCTTACACATGGCCTGCGCAACATCACCTATAGCCCCTTCTGCACCAGGCTCTGCGGGACGGGGATCTTGCTGGGCCATGGCGCCCCGGGAACGCAATGGCACAGAGACAAAAGACCAGACCAGTTCTTGGACCGGAAGGGTTCCATCATGTAGCAAGCCCATCCGTGCCATGGTCCACAGAAAGAACTCAAGAGACATGACTGGGTGAATTAAAGCATGGCAGCGGCACGCCGGCAGACGCGATGCTGATGCTCGTGAGCTGGCACCTGGCAGCAACGGGAAAAGCCCAAGTGGTTCGCAAGAAGCGAGGCAAGCCAATGATGTCCGACGTCGAGTCTGGGGCTGGCCTGTCCTTCTTCTTGTCCTTGAATCGGACCTGGGCGCAGTGAAGCGGGCTGAAGCAGCATTTGGGCAGCCACTGCCACAAGAAAACATAGCATGAGAGGCTAGGAGCAACAAGGGCTTCAATGATCGATAGGTGCCTCCTTTTTCTGGCAGACCCGCGACTAAAACTTGGCCAAAGTCATCCTGGCTGCGCGCCTGGCGACCTGTCCTCGGACCGACATCGGTGGGGCTACTGGGAATCACTCTGGGTGCCCTCGTCCTCATCATCCTCCTCCTCTTCCAGGCCCGCGTCCTCTCCCTCCTCCTCACCCGTAACTTCGGACCACAGCAATGGTCGACCAGATAGGTGCTTCTTGGCGGCTTCAAACAAAATTGCTTCCAAGGTCGCTTTGTGCGACGCATTCCAGGCCAGAGCGACATAAGGCACGTCGGACTGGAGGCAGGCAAGAGGCAGACCGCAGCCTGGGGCGAAGTCCACCACAGCATTTGGCTGCACTGCCTCCAGCAAGGTCGACCACCATTCCAAAGGCTTCCGCTCACGCCAAAACATGGGCAGCTTCTCCTTGTTCCAGGACACGGGGCTCGAGCAGGTTGGCGTTTTTTTCCACTCCATGAGCGCCGTTTTTTCCTTGACTCCGGGAAGAGGCAGGGTTCGGCTGTCAGTTTCATTTAAGGAGTTCTTTACAATAACAGTTCTGCTGGTGACCACCGAGTGGCCTCGCACGAGACCAAGGGGAATGCGGGCCGATGAAACCCCAGATCCTGGAAGCTCGCCATCTTCTCCGCCACGCCTCTGAGGAACACTTGGTTCTGTTTTTTCGAGGTCAGGGCAGCTGCTATATAAACATGTTGTACGTCCTCGGCCCGCTGCTTCTTTGTTGTCTCCTTCTTGGCGCGGCGGCTGCGAGAGACTAGGATCTCTTTCGCAGACAGACCGAAGACCTTGTTCTTTTCAAGGACAAGCCTCTGCGATCGAAGGCCACCGTCTGAACCCACAGCGACAGCGTAGTCCGAAAAGCCCACGGTGCCGCCCTTGGAGACCATGTCTTGCGCAATCTTGCAGACACTGTTCAAGATTTTCTTTGAAAACCGACCAAAGGCACCTCTGCGCGTCCATGGTTGGCTGGGCCTCTCCCGGATGCTGTCGCCGTTCCAAACATAAAGCACCTTATTCGGTCTCTTCGCCTTCAAAAAGGATTCGCACAGCTGAGCTCTCACCGCCTCAGTCTTGAGATTTTTGAACGGGAGCTGCAACACCTGTGTCCGCTTCTCTAGCCAGCGCTTCACTTGGGCATCGTCCCCCAATGCCTCCTCTGCTGCAGTGGTCGCCGCAGCATGCTCGGCCCCGCCCTCCGCGACAACAGACCAGAGTTTTTCGGCCAAATCGACCTGGACCTTCGCCCCTTCGGCCAAGAAGCCAAAGCGATTGTGCTTGGACAAAAAGACCATGTCCCTCGCGTATCCGCCGGAGAGGACCTGCAGCAGGATCTCGGCCAACTTGCGAGCGCGATCATCCTTGTCCTCGAACCATGACCCCAAAGACACTCTTGGGCGGCGCGGCTTTCCCTGCTCCGCCTCCTCCTCATCATCCTGCTGGACGCCAGCATGTTTTTCAGCTGGGTCCTCGTCGTGCTCCTCCTCTTCCTCCTCCTCCTCCACACGGCTGGTCTGGACATACCTGTCCCCCTCTAAGAGACGCACTGGCCGCGCAAACAAGGCCAGGACGTCCAAGACGTCCGTCGCTCGCGACTCGTCTTCTGCACGTGCTTTGGATTCCAGCGAAGACAACAGAAGCATTGCCCCGAGAGTGAGCGCCAGGAAACTGGTGTGCTTTAGTGCGTTCATACTGTGCGTCGTGAATTTCGTTGTCCGGACAAGACCACAGTGCAGCAGAAAATACATTGTCTCCAACACATACGCGAGACTGCCAGGCATCGCCGCTTTGCAGCCGTTCAGAAGCATTCGGAGCTTTTCCTGGCTTCGGACAAGGAAGCCGGCATAGAGAGAGTCCGTAAACCCACAATGAACACACAACAATCAATCAACAAGAACGGCTAGTAGTCTGCCAGTGCTGCCCAAGACACCGAGTGGAGAGAAAACAAGGTCCTGCCCCAGCGCCTCTCCAACATCAAGAAGATGTCGCATGTGGCAGTGTCTTTGAAGCTGGCAACAGCGGATTTGCTCCCGATCAAGAGGGTGCGGTTCATTTCGCGCCCATCCACATAGTGGATCTTGTCCCTTTCTTTCAGGAGGTCCACCTGCTCCGCCAGCGTGCAGCCCTTGTATGTCGGGGATTCCAGGACCGTCTCGAGACGCCGAAGCCAGCAGATATAGGAGCACGACAATGACACGAGGGTGCTCGTCCGTGCCTGCGACTGCAGGCCCAAAATGGCACTTCGGACCGCCCCATCTGGGTCCTCTGCCGATGTAACCAAGTCATGGGCCTGCAGCTTCACACACACGGCCAAGTCGAGCCACTGCTGGATGGCGCCGACATCGCGGTCTAAGATGGACCGCGCCAGACCTATGTAGAAAGCCGCCACGACCGCGTGCCCCTCAACCAATGGGCAGCGCTTGAGACCGGACGCTCTGTCCTGCCATGCTGCGGCCTCTGAGGCACGCAGGAGGATGGGCAAGTCCATTGGCCACCGACCGCCGAGGAAAAGCGTGCGGGACGCCCGCACCAAGTCCAGAAATGAAACCGTCTGCACAGCGGTGTGGCCTGAGTCGACATGGACCCAGAACACACTGCCGGTCATGCTGTAGACAGACCCTTTCGCCAACGCACTGTGCAGGTCCTTGGCCGACCAGTGGTCGGAAGCACCTCTTTCAGGGGCTAATGTAAAAAAGTGATGCGCGATGAGGAAATGTCTTACAGTGGGGTTGAGGGCCCAGGGGTGAAGGATCTTCCCGAACAGAGACAGAAGAGACAGAAAAAGAGTGACAGAGAGAAAGAGACAGAGAGGGAGAGGGAGAGGGAGAGAGAGAGAGAGAGAGAGAGAGAGAGAGAGAGACAGACAGACAGACAAACAGGCAGACAGACAGAGAGACAAAGACAGGAAGAGACGAAGACAGGAAGAGACCAAGAGACAGAGAGACAAAGAGACAGCGAGAGACAGACGACAGGGACAGACAGAGAAAGAAAAAAACAGAGAGAGAGAGAGAGAGAGAGAGAGAGAGAGAGATAGAAAGCGAGCCTGCCGCCCCTATGTCATGCCCCCTGCACCGCAGCTGGTCCACCAACCATTCTGGTAGGCCCCGAATGAGTTCTCCTGTGGGACGTAAGGACATGTCCAAGGGCGGTGGCCATGACCATAGTGGCCGAGGCCGCTTCTCCTGGTGTTGACGACGATGCGTCATACATCTACAAACCAACCCTGACCTGCCGGAGCCCAATTGGCCTGCCGCAGTCCAAGTAGCAGCGAATCACTGCCCATTGACCCTACCCCCCCCTGCTCTCGCTTTTTACGCCAAACATTCCCTACCCTCCCCCGCCTCTTGCCAAACAGGAAAGGGTGACGTCACCCTGCTCACTTTTCTTGAAACCCCTCGCGACCCCCCCCCTCCCCCTCCTCC